CCTTTAAATCGAAATGTGCTGCCGCAAATTGCCTTTCTAGCGTTTTGGGAATATGGGTGATTTGCATCAATTACATTTTTATTGACTTCATCAGTGCGTAATCCGGACGAGATTTAGGTTTCACTTCAGCATGTTAATCATGTTTTAAGATCTTGTAATAGACGTTTGTCTTGACTCAAAATTAGGCCTCATATAATTAAAATTTCTCGTTTCATTTGTATGGTCTTAACACTAAAAAGAAACCGTTCGTATAAAAAATACTTTAATGAAAAAAGGTTATATACTTCTCATTTCAATAAATCAGTGATTGTTATAATATTGTTGTTTAATATCGCTCTCTTTCCCACTTCTTCGTGCATATCTCTTTTTTTCTTCTCTTCAGTTTTATTAAATGACTAGTTCTTGAACAATTAGAGGGTTCATTTTCAACTTGTTTATCATTTTTCAAGGTTTTGTTAAAAAACCTGTGTTTTAACTCAAGCCATATGTTTAACATTTCTCGTCTCATTTGTTTGTATAGGACAAATCATTTTTATCAAACCCAGTTTTATGAATCAAAGCAATATATACGTCTAATTCACACAGTGTAGGATCTTAATACACTATTTACATCGTAAGTTTTAACTCGTCATAACATTAAAATAAATACAATTCATAGGTCTTAACGTTTGTGTATTAGCTAATCATAAGTAAAAAATCATCCGGGTTTGCTTCCCTATATTTACATATAGTCATTATTAGCATCCGGATTTACTTTATACTTCCGCCTTTAAAGCCCACCTCTCCACCTCAAATCAATTTGCACCTCAAAGTAGCATAAAAACAATCACTCTATACTACTTAACGGTGGCAAACGGAGTTTTACCGGCGACGCGTAAGCGTTGCCACTAAAACGGATGTTTGCGACCGTTTAATCAGCATTAACGGTCGCAAATACCAAATTAGAAGATTAGTTACTCCCATTCAAATGCAATCCATGCATTTTTTGTTGTTTACGTCTTATGTTGTTGAGTTTCGTTACATGAAATACGTCATTGAGCATTGTGTTTTTGCGTCGTTCTGTTCTGATGTCACAATAAAAAGCCTTTACTCTCATTAATGCACGTTTAACTGCTTCAAGCGACAGTGCATTAGCCTATCGAAACTTGTTTTTACAAAACAATTGCATTAGAATATGTTTTCCAACATTTTTGATTCATTTATTGAGTTCACTATTAAAGTGACTACAACTTGTGAATGATTATTTCAAAAGACATTGAAAACACGTTTCAAAACACCACCACCTTTTAATCACTTTTGAAATAAAACCTACATGTTCCATCGTAATAAGCCTAATACTAATGCCCTGTTCACACGACGAGTTTAATTCGCAGTAAACTAATGCGAAGTAAATGCGAAGTAAACTAATGCGAATTAAATTAATGCGAATTAAATAGCGTTCACACGACGTTAATGCGAAGTAAACTAATTCGCATTAAATTTGTAAATATTTCCAGGTAAGCAGGTGCGAGAAATTAAGCAATGGCTAAGACAAAAGAAATAATAATGATATTAACCAATTAGTAAAAGCAATATTAAAATTGCTATATTTTTTCTAACACAAAAATTTATTGAAACTGCTCAGAACAGAAAATACGTAAAGGCCGCATCACATGTAAATAATTGGTTCAAAGTATGCATGTATCTTTAACTGAAAGTATACAAGTTTATTTTTTAAACTGAACGATAAAAAATAATAATATTCAGAAAATATTCAGAAAATTATGTTGATGGCAAGGTTACGAAGAGCAAGATTGTAAAAAAAATTGACGACGTTAATTGTATTATGACGTCATTAAAATTAATTACGTCACCTTTTGAACATTTATCAAAATGGAGAAAGCAACACTATGCAAATTTTTCCTTTTCCTTCGCTGTTTTTTCCAAGTCAATTTACAATGTCATCATAATTTGCTACATCGACAAAGGAAAGAGAGATATCTTAGACTGAAACAAAGAAGAAAATCAAGGTGGGAACGTCTCATGAAAAATCGCAGACATCGTAGACGATTGTTTTTTTTTGATTATTGGTTCTTTATTGAATATGCAAAATCAATTACAATTCAAAAGATCAACTTGGAAGTTTGACAGGGAAAGTGATCTGTATACGGATTTTCTGTCGTGGAAGGAGAGTGAATTTAAGAGCCACATAAGGGTACACAAATATACGTTTGATTACTTGGTCAAGGAACTGGACACGGTTAAATCGAAAGACACAAATATGCGAACTGCGGTTAATCCACTGCAAAAAAAAATTTTAATCACTTTGTGGTATCTGAGTTCGCCGATTGATTTTCGTTCTCTGGCAGTAACATTTGCCTGTGGAAAATCGACTGTATGGAAAATCGTCCATGATGTGGTATTTGCTTTGAAAAACATGTGTTCAAAAGTTATAAGATTCCCTAGAACTGAGGAGGAAGCTAGCGATATTGTACATGGTTTTAATTTCCGAGGTTTTCCCCAAACAATAGGCGCAATTGATGGTACTCACTTTCAGATTTTGGCACCTTCCGAAAATCCAAATGACTATTATAATCGGAAAGGTTTCTATTCAATAGTTATGCAGGCCGTTTCAGACCATCGCTACAGATTTTTGGACGTATATATTGGTTGGCCTGGAAAGGCTCATGATGCTAGAATATACAAACATTCCTCTATATGTAAAAAAAAATGTCAACTTTTTTACCGCAACTTTCTTTATTAATTGATACTGTAAACGTACCATTACATCTCATTGGCGACGCTGCTTACCCGTTGTCAAATTCTCTTATGACACCTTTTAAAGGAAATCTTGATCCGGTACAAGCACAATACAATTTCAAACACTCAAGCGCACAAATGGTTATAGAAAATACTTTTGGAAGACTCAAATCTAGATGGAGAAAACTTTCGGAAAGATTTGATGGGAAACTTCCCTTTTTCGTGGATGTTGTCACAGCATGCTGTGTTCTAAATAATTTGAGCGAGCTAGACAGCGTACAGGCGATTGACGAATGGACGAGGACTATTAACATGGACCAAAACAGATGCTTGGGAAACGCCCCACAAAATGCTAACATTATCAGAGAGGCTATTGCCGCAAATTTGTAATTCTTAATTTAAGGCTGTGAAAAAAAAATCAAAGACAAATATTGCAATATAGTATATTTCTTATAACTTACTACTTTTTTAATTGCTGTTGGTTGTTATATGGTCAGAACATGAAAAAAAAAATGCACGGACAATTATATTTGTTTTATATACTTTTTCTGACTTGTATACAAGTAAGCAGATTTAAATTTCGAAAATAGAGCGGAAATAGAACAGAAATTAGCATATAATTTTCCCGTTTTGGGAAATTTGAAATAATATTATTTATATATAGTTTTATAAAATGTGATCGCGCAGGTCCGAGGGAAGAAAACATAGTTGTGGCCTTAGATTGATGTTAAATGAAATGGCAAATATATCTTTAATGAAAAATGACAAATATAATTAAAATGAATGATTAATGCTTTCTAATTTTCTAATCTAACAAGAGTTATGCAAATATAAAAATAAAACTTTTAAAATACTTAAATATAAATCAACCTATTTGAACACCTACAACATCCAAATGCATAGTTTTATTTCTTAATCAATAAACTTTTCACTTTTATGTGAATGCAGAATTCTGTCGAATTAATTAATTCCCTCGTATCCTCATTTTTCGTTTCTTTTTTTTTTTTCTTTTTTTTATAATAAATGAGTCGTTCTCCAGTCACCACTTCTAGGGCCTTTCCAACAAGTGGAAAACAACATTGAATACGCGCCATGACCCCCCCCCCCCCCCCAAACACACACACACACACACACACACTCATCCCGTTTCCTTTTTCACAAACTTGGAAAGAAATGGAAGGAAACATCTTATCTGAGGAGTTTGGAGCTCAACTTTAAAATACTGGACAGAAAATTCTGATTGATATATTATTTTCAAACTATACCGAAATTAAATTTGTCTTCTTGGTCAATCAATAGTAATGTGCCTTCTAGTGTAACTGAGGTGGATTGAAAAAAATTCAAAAGAAAATTTCAATCCAATGTTTTTTCGGCCGTCCGCGTCGAATTGTACCCGCCCATTTCATTGTATATCACTGAATGTTTTGATTGTAACAGATAGAAATGAATTAATCTGCATATTTCCAATCTTGCCAGTTAATGTTCCGCGGTCTTAAATACCTACAAATGTACATTTATACCATAGAATTGTCTTTTAACTCTGTCTTTCAAATACTTTACTAAATATGAAGCAATTCTATATTGTTTAAAATTTTTGCGTCAATGTTAAAACATTGGAGGTTGTCTTTCTGACCCGAGATGATGCGATTGAGTTATATAGAATATCACACTGCTGTTTTGATCTCGGCCCTGGTATCAGCCCGAGCGGTTGGTATCGGCCCAAGCCCGGGGGGCCGAGGCAGAGATATCTTAGCCCTGAGGGCGAGACAGTCCTACTTCCGAAGCGCTGTCTCTCCTAGTCCAAAACGCCTGTATCAGGGCTGATACACTACTAGGTATATGATATATTCCCTTAAAACTATATTCTCTATACACGCCGGGTTTATTTTCGTCCCGTGTTATTTTTGTCCTTTCATATATACTAGCAAACAATTAAGCCCTAATTTAATTTCGTCCAGTCACGCCGGTTTTAAATTCCCCCAATCACAGCTTCTATGATTAGGGCAAAAGGGATAAAAATAAAACGGGGCGAAAATTTCCCTGCACGTGTACCATATATGATATCCGTATGAATTACGGTGATTTTAATTTTACAAGATCAGGATCAGGATCAAGACTTATTTTTTTATTTTAACAATGAGTAAAATGATCTAATGCTTACATGGAAAAGACCTTATACGTGAATGAATCAACTGAGGAATTAAATTATGTTGAACAGTTCAGATATGTATACACATGATATATATTATGTAATGATATAATCATAGATCGAAATAGTCAGCGTGATAGAGAGCTTCCTGTATAGGGATATTTGATTCGTTGTCTCCTGCTGACCCTGGAGCTTGTGCTGGTCCGGGAGCTGGAGTGCCCATAAATATTGAGGCCATCTGCATCTGCATCTGTGCCTGCATTTGATAGAGTTGTAGTTGGAACTGCCGCTCACTTTCCATTCGTCTTTGTTCGGCTTCGTCCTCCAGCCTCCTTCTCTTCTCTTCCTGATCAAATTGGTATTTAGTCTGCCTCTCCTCCATGTCAACGAGGGCATGTACGAAGTTATCTATAATTTTAATGATATAATTTCAGAATGAAATCCCTTTTAGGAAGGATAATATACAAAACAAGAAATTTTTGATATCTGGCTTCGTATATATTTTTGACCTAACTAAAATAACCATTTACTTTATATGAACATTATTAAGTTGTATATATATATATATATATATATATATATATATATATATATATATATATATATATATATATATATATATATTATTCATAATTAATGGGGGAGGGAGACTTACTAAGGCTTTCATCCATTATTCTCTTTCTTGTTTTTTCCTTCGATAAATTTTTCTGCTTGATTTCCGACCTTGAATGCCCTAATGTCATAAAACATAGTAAATCTGAATGTAAGGTTCTGAATATAAGATTATAAGTAAGATTTCATTTGAGAAAATGCTATCTAGCAATGATTTTTCAGTTTTGTCAGTTAATTCATTTTTCAAACGGTTTCACCCCCACCCCCATCCCGGACCATTTCTGAGTTTCATATTGCTCTGGACATGCATGTATGGTAAAATTGTCTTATTTGTTGATAGATATATGTACTATACTAGTATTTAAAATCCATCAAAGTTTGATTTTCCAGTGACATCAAATAATAATAATACCTCCATTCTCTCCGTCTTTCTTTCCATTGTCTTCGTCCTTCTCCACTTTGACGATGGCTTTCTCTGCTGTGTCCTTCTTCTGGTCTTGAAAATACATGTACATATATAATTATTTCTAAATTTACTATTTAAAAAAATTGTGAAAAATGAATTCAGATAAACTTGCTACTCACCATTATTTGTATCGACTGCAACTTTTTCTTCCACGTTCTCAGTAGTGTCGACAAGGACGGATGGTTCTATGAGAGGTTTCGATCCAAGGAATTCGTCCAGCCTGTCAAAATAGACAAAACGACTTCTGGACTGGCCTGAAGTATTATTATGGAGCTTTGCCCTCAAGTATGCCTGCCTTAGTCCTTTAATTTTGGTTCGACAGGATTCCCAGGTCCTGTCAATTCCTTTCCCTCTCAAAGCTAAAAAAAATCAGTTATCTGTTATGCTGTACATCCAAATATTTTTACCGTAGCCTATAATATATTGCTTTTTGCATTAATATTTACAATGAAATGCTATTACCACTGGCAAATTTAAGGGGGGGGGGCGATGGGGGGGGGGGGGGAGGCGGGGGTACCCCCCTGAAATTGTCAAAGTATGATATGAATAATAATGCCATACTTTGGTACAATACTTTGGCATTCACCCTCTGGGCCCCCTTCATTCAAACTATGAACTAGCATTAATGATGTCATGATTTGGTACATAGCTAACAAATACTAATACCACTATTATATATATTGTGCCTTGTTTTTCTCGCATTAAAATACACGAAAACTCAGGGGCTTCTTGGCCCAATGGGGCTTACGTACATGTACTACAAACTGCACTACTAAATTTCAATATCTAATCGGTATAAACATGAAACATTTTGATTTTGGAAGGGGGTATAGGCTAAACGTACTATTGAATTAAATGATAGAATATAGATATAAATTTATGTAGATCTATCAAGTTAATTAAGATAAATAAATTTAATATCTACATACCAATGGCAATTTTTTCATAGACATGCTTGTTTCTATAAACTCCGGAAAAATCATTAGAAATTTCTTCTGACGCCCAACTTTCAATGAGTTCAATAATTTCCTCGCTGTTCCAGTTTATTCCTCGCGTCTCCTTCGCCATTATTATGCCAAGTGCACTTTATGACGTAATTTTTATGCATATTGCGCAAAATAATATTTTTGACGTCATATGGCTCCAAAATTCACGACATAATTTTATCAATGAAAAGAATCTCCATGGTAGATTTCTCTGTGGATTTTAAGCAAATTATCGGAGGTCATTTTTCTTTAAAGGGGGGGGGGGCTTTTGTGTCTGATTTAATGCGTTGATAAATCATTTGTGTGTCTTTTTATATAGATTACTTTATGTCAAAACATTAGAAAGGGTACCGTTATAGACATAATAATATCCCTTTATACCTGATGACAATAGATAGTTTTCGATTGACCAAGAGTTACTTCCCGTTGGCCGCCATACTGGAGGTCCAAATGCTCATATTCCTTCATTGTTCAACCAATTTAAAATTGTTATATTTGCTATTTTGAATTAGAAATCATTATTTTTCTGAAGTATATAAATTTTTGGAAGCCTCCTTTATTTAAAAAAAATTATTTGATAAAGATTTTCCACCAAATATTTCTGCTATATTTTCTTAAACTTGGTAAGACAAAGAGGGAAAATCACTGAGTCGACCTCCAATATGGCGGCCAACGGGAGGTAACTTTCGCTAAATTCAGGCCTATCGAAAACTATCTATACTGTTTTATCTCAGTTTTATTTTTACTTTTCTTTTTATAATTAAAATAATTAAATAGGCCTATATGTGCATGGAATAAACCTTTGAAAATAGAGTAAAGGTGCAGAAAATATAAGGTAGGCTGAGATATACATGTAGCCTACATATTGAAAAATACATAAAATCATTGCATTTTTTGGAGAGAGTAGCACGATTTTCTTCATTTCTTACCTAGAAAATGTATTAGTACCCATATCTGACCACTGGCAGGTGGTATTTGACCCATTTCTACCCTTACGCATGCGTCAAAATTTAATTCGAATTAGCTTCGCTTTGCGTTCACACGGAGCTAATGCGAAGTAATTTAATGCGCAGTAAACTAATTCGAAGTAAACTAATTCGCATTAAATTCTCCGTGTGAACGCTAAGCGAAGCTAATTCGCAGTAAATTTACGTTTAATTCGAATTAAACTCTCCGTGTGAACAGGGCATAACTTCCCTAGAAATTTTGCTTTGTAATGTGTTGACGAGAAGACGTTGGTTTTACTGTCTATATTTTGTGTGTAGGTAATCTCATGAATACGCACGACTTTTTTGTTTTATTCTATATTCCTTTTATTATAAAAATAACCATATTTTATTCAGAAAGTTTATACAAAAAAATTTCAGTATTCTTTTTTTTCAATATAGATATTCTAATTTCCAAATTTAGATATATTTATGATCCTTTCCTTTCAAAATCAATGACTAAAATGAACTTGAAATAACAAAATTATTTGAATATATAATTGTCTGTTGGCTTTCGTCGATTCGAACAGATTCAAAGAAAGTTGGCTCATAACATTTGCATACATGTTTGAATTATAGGTAGGTCAGTTTAATAAAAAGTGTCCGTGTATTAATTTAAATTTCTACAAAAAAAGTTTCAATAGTAGTCGTATTTCAATAGTGTATGCGACCTGTTTGTTATTGAAAAGCACTCTCAACTACTTTGAAATGCACTCTCAAATACTACTGAAATAATTATTTCAATAGTATTTGTGAGTGCATTTCAATAGCAAACAGAGATTGCAACCATTATTGAAATAAGACCAATATTGAAATAATTATTTCGAAAGTGGTTGAGAGTGCTTTTCAATAACAAACAGGTTGCATACACTATTGAAATAATAATTACCGTATAAGTGGAAATTTTAGCGAGACGCAAATTTAGCGATTTCTACCTAAAATCTGGAATCTTATTTTTAGCGAGAAGTTAATTTGGCGATTTTAAAATGCTAAATAAAGAAGCTATTGCAAATAATACGCAATTAATTTTTAGCAATATCCAAATTTAGCAATGTCAGCACCCTCGCTAATAATTATTTCAATAGAGGTCGCTATTTCAGTAGTGGTTGGAACACCTTGTGCTAAAATAGTGCCAAGCGACTTTAAATACAATTAAAAAAACGAATAAAAGAAACGGGGAGGGACACTTAGAAAAGGGGTTAGGATGGCCTTAAGGAGTTTTGGTATAAAATTTCATTGCAAAAGCTAAAAAAAAATTTCTTGAAATATCGCCCGAAAACGGTAGTGTTAAAAACAGACATAATGTATAAATTTGCGACTTCTAACTCTGATCTTTTAACTTAAAAATCAATAGGGGTCTTCCTGTGGCCACCATGAATTGTAATTTAAAATTTCATTGCGAAAGCACAAGGGTTGTTGACGTATTGCCCGAAAACGAAAGTGTTATAATCGACAGAATTTATGAATTTATGACCTTTGACCTTTTAATCTCAAAACCAATAGGGTTCTTCTTTGGGCCTTAGGGAGCTGCTGTGCAAAATTTCACTGCGAAAGCTCAATGGGTTCTCGAGATATCGTGTGGGAACGAAAGCTATGTACAGACAGACAGAAAGACGGAAGGACAGACGCAGATTAATATCCCCACTTTCAGTGAAACGGGGGACAAAAATGATAACAAGTAAAATACAATAAAAAAAAAACTACAGTTTTTAAAGGTAGTCCGATCCTCAGGTTTATAAAATTAGCAGGTAAGTTATCAAAAATACTCATAAAAAAATCTCTGAACCCACAAAAGTATGTAGATTTAATCACAGTATTTCTTTAAAGTTTAAAAAGATCAAAGTTAATCATATCGTATAGGGAAAATTGTCAGATTCCCATTAGTTTTGCAGAAAAAGCGAACTGGAATATCAGCAATGCATTTTCTGATTGCAAATTGATCAAGAAATATATTTAAGGTTAAAAAACGATAGGTATTCAGGCAATCAGAGAAATTGTCATGATTTTTATACTTATTTGAAATTTTCATGTCTTCTATTTCCGTTATGTATTCTATAATACCTGATGTAAAAGGCTTTTGCTATCATTGCAAGACACCACAAATCACTTCTTATTTCATATCATGCTAGTAAGCATTTGTATCTAAGACAGACTAGATTCAGGAAAATCTTCTTTCTTTAAAACTGTATTAATTTTTTTTCTCTTTTTATAGGGTACAAATGTCAACTTTTATAAGACCTTTTCGGAGACTTCAAAAAACCTTGAATCTTATAAAGATGAATAAAATGAAAATTTTTGCATGAAATAAAAATAATTTTCAAGCTTCACTTTGATACATTTCAAATTTAATATTGATTTTTGAAGTTATCCTTCCTGCCTGAGGATCGGATATCCTCTAGGGTTTTTTATATAAATATTTATATTTACCTCCAAAAAAACTTTTTTGAGAGTGTTTTGGAATATTTTGAATGGCATATGGTATACAGTACATGGATTTTCATTTAACTTTCACAAATGTACAAATTTATTAATTCTTTAAGTTGTGTGACGTCATTTTTCAGTCGATTAGTTATCAAAGCTACGCCATTACAAAGATAATAAACATTGTAAATGTGAACTCGACAAAATATTTGGAAAAGGTAGTGTTTGATATTTCATGTTAATTCATTTACTCTTTCACTCCATCTCATTCTCTCTCTCTCTCTCTCTCTCTCTCTCTCTCTCTCTCTCTCTCTCTCTCTCTCTCTCTCTCTCTTTCACTCACTTCATCCCTCTCAAAATAGACAAACGTTTTTTTTTTTTTATATAATTGTTTCTAAAGAAATTGAAAATCAAGGTTTTGGCCACACTTCTAAAATTAAAATATTTCATTGTTATAGCTGCAGATTTGTAGCGTTATGGTTTTTTATAGTAGTCTTGACCATAACGCTACAGACCAGTAGTGCTAAAAAGGTACAATTTACTGCGCAAGATTTTCTGCGCTCGGTTGAGGATAGATATCTGCACCTTCCAGCATTGATCACTCGGCTACCGATTTTTCCCTAAGTCTAGACATATTTTACTACAAACCTGTACATTTTATCCACCTCTTAACCCTCTGTAATCGTCTCTACAGGCCGACGAACTCGATTGTTTTGAATTTTCTGCCATCCGACAGCCATGTTGACCTACTAGCGAGATCTCGCTAAAAGGTCACGTGATATGTGGAATGTGGAACACACGTGTTGATAACGTAAACAAAGTGCCGGTTCCTCGTTTTTCTATCGATTTCGTACAAAATAAAGTTTGACAACACTTTTCTTTGACTTACTCTTATTTTTTAAACACATTTAAATGATTTTTCAGAGAAAACACAAACACTTTCATTTAATTTTTTGTCAAAATATTGGTCTAAATAATCAGAGGCTTCGGGTAGTTGTTGGTTTTGCAGTGTGACAAAATGGCGCGACCCACAAATGTCACCGAAATATTTAACAGCGAAATTAAAGAGCAATTTCATTTCAATTTTGAATTGAAGGAAGAACAGGTACGGGTTGTAGGCAGTATTCTACAACATAATAATACAGTTGGTGTTTTTCCAACAGGGTTTGGTAAAAGCATATGCTATCTTTTACCTCCCTTGATATTTGATAGACTTGATAACCAAGTACACCATACATGTATTGTGGTCTCACCCTTAAAGAGTTTAATGCTTGACCAGTGCAAACATAATGCCAGTCACGGGATCAGTGCTGCGGTTATTCAAGCACAAGATGAAATGTCCTCCGAAGTAGTGGAAGGTATTTATATATAATGTTAGAATTTAAATCAGTGCATTCCTGTATTTCTTTAGAAAGAGTGCAAGAAGGCCAACATTTAAAAACACTGCAATAAATATTTAAATTTTTCCTTAAGAAAAAGTATGTCAAAATATATAGAAACAATATTTACATCATATGTATACACATATGTTTTAAGGAGCCTCTTAAATATTGTTTTTGTTAAATGTAGGAATCAAGAAAGGGACATTTTCTGTGCTATATATGTCTCCTGAGACTTTACTGGATATAGATTCCTGGAAAGACCTGCTGTTGAGTTCTAAGGTTTATAAAGAGAGTGTCTGCCTAATTGCAATAGATGAGGCACACATTATGGAGTCATGGTAAAGAAACTTCACAATCATTCAACAAAAGATAGTTTGATGTGTTTTATTTATTAAAACTTTCCATTGTTTTTTTTTTTTTTTGGGGGGGGGGGGGTTAATTAATGCGTGTTTAAGATAACTCCTCAACCTAAATATTTTTCTTTTGAATGAAATAGAATTTCTATGTTCAAATAAGATAAACAGAAATAATTTAAGCAGAAAATTACTATTGCATGATATTTCAATTCTAATCTACAGGGGTGAAACATTTAGACCTACATTTGCCAGACTTGGCGAGCTGAGGTCCCATTTCCCCAGCACACCCTTTTTATTGTTAACTGCCACATGCACACAACATATCTTGAGGCAAATTACAACAAAGATTCACCTACCCAACTTGAAAATGTTTAGTGCATCTCCTGACAGGTACATTGTACAGATTTCAAACATTTTATTTACAAGACTAAATATACTGGTATGTTATTGTACATGTAAATTATGAATGTATAACACATAATTTTTACAGGCCAAACATATACCTTGAGTGTCAAAGAGCCAGTGACATTTTCAAAGACCTTCACTGGCTATTTGAGGAGGTGAAGGAAAAGGGAATTAAAACTAGGAAGTCTTTGATATATGTCAGGTAACATAATTCATAAAATACATTATACTGATTAAAAAGCACACATTTTCAGTTCAAGATTTTCAAGATACATGCATTATGCATGTACTGTAACCCATTAACCATTAATTGTATGTTTTAAATTAAAATTTTGTAGAAGTTTAAGTAAAGGTGGCTGCCTGTACAGAGACATATTAGGTCATTTGAAAGAGCATGCATTCCATGAGAAAGAGAAAACTCAGCAAAACAGCTTCATTGCACTATATCATGCTGGAATGAATTCCAAAGACTTGAACTATATACTTCATGAAATTTCAAAACCAGACAGTGTCATCAGAATTGCCATATGCACCATTGCTTTTGGCATGGGCATAAACATTCCTGATATTGATGTAGTAATTCATTGGGGTGCTTGTTATTCTATCATGGACTACTGGCAGGAGGTGGGTAGGGCAGGGCGAGATGGAAGGGAAGCTCAAGCCTTATATTTTATTACACCTGGATCACTTTTGCACACAAGTGATGAAATGAAGGAGTTGTGTAGATCAGTAGAGAAGAAGGAATCCAAGTGTTTTAGGCATACTATCTTATCTCATTTTATTGGCCATAACAGCACATCACAACCAGTTTGCACACTTCAGTGCACAGAATGCAACTGTTCATCGTGCAAGTGTTGCTATTTGTGCCGTCAAGATTGTCCGTGTAGGAATGACAAATGAAAGACAAAGTAAGTGACTCTAAATATCATATTTTCAAACACTCATGTACTTCCTCCTATTCATACAAAAATTCTTCATTTTCAAGTGCTTTTACATACTTTTTCAGTCTGTTGTTTAGCTTTTCTGGGTTTTTTATACAAAAATTTTGTGCTCAAAATTAGCATAGCCATGATGGTGCCTTTGTCTGTCTTTATCTTTAAAGAGGTCCTCAGACCTGTACTCCTCCACAAACTTTTTTATTTTAGACATAGAGGAACCGTCTGTTGATGTGGCTTTGGGGATGTAGTCTTGGATCACCTCTTGAAAGATGCTCTCTATTGCCTTTCCCACACTGCCCACTATTTTGCTGCATCTTGATACCTGGGTCTCACTGTACTGTCCATGGCAATTCTTCAGATTGGCTGAAAAGGTAAAATAAATTCTATTGATAATAGCATACAGTTAATAACTTCTTTTGATTATTGCTTTTTTTAATTACATGTATTTATTTTGTAATTTAGTGAATAAAAAAAGTTTGCCTTCACCTTTGAATTCATTGTTTAGGAACTCATTTACAAGGTCTAAGGCTATGTTGTGGCCAGGTTTACCGACAAGATTTGCTGTGCTATTCCATATCATTTCGTGCCTGACTCGTGCTGGAAGCCAACCACTTACTCCTGAAGTATATGGTAAAAATTAAAATGATATATACATTCTTTACATGTACTTGTACAAAATCTCATTTATTGCATTTGGTATTACCTGCCAATAACCGATGACCCAAAATAAGATACTTGTTGTGGTTGTTATTCCAGAAGTGGACCATGTCCAGTCTCCAGTCCACGATGAGTTGGTTACCATCATTTTCACGTTCGGCTAATGTTTGCACCATATGAAGCAGACCCCGCCAAACCATGCACCGACTGTAATTGAACACAGAATCGTGGCTGTCTTGATGTGTCTCTGTGAGTTCCTCTTCTACTGAAAGTAAGATATATATGTATATGCCATATAAATGGAAAACTTATATTCTTTATAGGAAGTATCCAATACATGTTCCTTACCAAAATCATCATCTTCATTTTCTTCATAGTATGGCAATGTCTCATCAAGGGAGGAGTCATAGTCGTCATTCCAATAGTCGATGGTGTCATCCAGAAACCTAGGGTCTTCAGAATCTGAGGTGGACTCCTGATTAACCAGACTGTCATCTCCTTGTATTGCCTTTTGGATGGACTGCTTGTCAATTTGAGGCCAAACCAGTTTGATGACTTGTTCACAAATGTTCATGAAGAGATTTTGAACTGCTACTCGATCTGTTGGAATTGTTTGACAAATCTCATCTATGTTGTCTATATTGAGTAAGTTGCACACAATGAGACACACACTTGATTCAGTCACAAAGTTGAAGAAATCTACACAGGAATTTACACAGTCTGATGTTTTTTTCTTTTCAGTACGAAACCCAAACTTGTTTTTTATCTGGAACAAGGACCCTTTATCCCCTACTGTACTTCCACTAAAGAGAGAGTTCATAGAGTCCTGCAGTACAATACATCTCTTGTGAAAGCCTTGGGGACGAGGAATGAGGCCCTTCAGTTGGTCTGTCTCATCCTCACTGAAAGCCATAGAGAGTTTAGCATCCACCATCCTCTCCACACTGAGTTGGTCCCCATGGCAGAGGATAGGATAGGGCTTTCCATCCTGAGAAACTGGAACATACTTGTGCAGGTACTTCATTATCTCAAGAGTTCCTTTGGCAGAGGAGGGGTTTTCCTGAATAACACCTAGATTTACCTGTGAGATTGATATTGAAATGCACTATGATTTATACATTCATATACGAGGGCCGTTCAAAAATTACGTGGACTTGTTGCAGAGAAGAAATATTTGACGACAGAATCGGGCAAAACTTCACAAATGATATAAAAGAATCTTTACTTATATGGTTTTCAAAATTTCATATCAAAATGTTGTAAATTGGTATTAATTTTGAGTGATTTTTCAGGACATACCATTCTGTCACGGCGCAGCAAAATCTTCGACGTCACAAGCATTACAAAAAATATGTGATTGAGCTTTCATTTTCTCAACATTTTCCCTTGAGTACTTGTATAGTTTGAGTTACCTTATCTATGCAACATCAAAATACCATTTCTTGTCAAGCTTAAAATCTATTTAACAAGTAAAGAATATTCTTTTTTTGTTTTAAAACCAAAAACTACTTATGAGATAAAGTGTGATATTGGTGACGCTCAGTTACGTTCTTTACAGTCCGGATTCGCCTATAATCTTCTTCCCGTCCTCCCGTATAGCCTTTTTAAAGAGGTCTAACTGTCTAAAATTTCAATTTGCTATTTGTGGGCAAATGTCACGAGTAGCCTAGTTTACTACATGTTTTGTTATGCATATTTTGGATCTATGTTGCCGATATCTCGAGCATTACACATATTTTAACAAAAGTGTGGTGCGCCGTCAATTCAGGAGACGTCATTTTCACCGTCGTTTTCACGGGAATCGCATCAGAGAAAAATCACTATATTTCTGTTAGTACTTCAAATATTACGTCCGAAATCTAAATATATAATAATAATACAATTTAAAGGTGCATTTGAGAAAATTGTTGAAAAATATCGCGAATTTTAGAAAATCAATGAGTTAAATTTTTGAATCCGCATGCTTTTGCTTCAATTTTTTTGTCGTGCGCCGTACCTCTCCATCAACGATATCAACATACGGATAATTTTAGTAGAATTTTTTCAAAATACAGAAATTTTGCCCAAAATTTATTGGAATCTTTAAGATACATATGTCTGTGAAATTTTATAACTATATGACGTCTGTAAGAGTAAATAATAGCACAGTCCGCGTAATTTTTGAACGGCCCTCGTACATAATATAATAATTTTAACATTACCATATGAAGTAAACTTACAATCTGTGATTTTTTAGCTGCAGTATCTGAGTATTCATGGCGGTATGGAGGGAGTTCCACTTCACAGAATTGTTGAAAGTTTCGCTTCACCATGGTCTGGACCACATATTCCATCCTTTGCTTTAGATGTTGCCAATCATGGGCAGATGGTAGGTAATTCTGAAATAGCAAATTAACATTTTCAAAACTAATTGCTATCAATCACATTGATTTTAAAAAATTCAATTTATACAGAAATGTAAAAAGACTATATCATATGCTTCAGCTATACATACCTCTAGGCCTATGTCTTGAACAGAACATACATCATCTTCACTGAGGTCCCGGAAAGATATTCTGTTTTTTGCAGCAAAGCAAAGTGCCCATAACATAATTTTATTGTCTTGTCGCAAGAAGTGACGACTGACACTAAGTTTTTGAACATTGTCCCAACATACACTGTATCCTGGATCTACCGGTAGTTAAAAGTACATGACACAATCACTATTTTGAAGAACAATATTAACACGAATAAACGTAATTGCTCAATTTGAATACTTATATTGGGATAAATTTATGGTTTCAGTTACTTTGATCTACATGGTGAACTGAATCATCTTGAAAGCTGGAGTCGAAATCTGATGGAAGAGGGATTGCCTCCAATTCATCCTCCTCACTGCTGATCTCATCAGGCTCATCGGAACTGGAAGAAATGTGGGAACTAGAATCATCTGCCTCCGATCTATCCGACTCATCAGATTCCGTAGCACCCTCATCAGATTCCGCAACAGCTCTGTCCTCTTGGTCAGCCACAGGGTGTCCTAATTCCTCCTAGGGTTTACACATAAAAGAATATTAACTTTGATAAACATTTACTAGTAACAGCACTATTTACCTTTTGACCTAAAAAAACTACTTATCAAATTATGTCATGTATTAATTGTATGCCTGTTATTTATAGCATAAAATTATTCCTTAATTACCTGAATTTCATTTCTCCATTTCATTATTTCTGCATCATACTCGGAGCACAGTTTGTCCACAGCTGCCCGTGTGCCTTTGACCCCCTTGCACCACCCTAGCTTTTGAAATCACCTAAAGAGCTGAAATACAGTCATACAGACAATACAATGTATTATTAATTAGCATTAACCCTTGATGTAGACACGATAATTTGATGAACGTCGGAGTCGTCAGACCTAGTTAAAGCTATGATGAAGCTTCTTCCAAAGATTTTAAACTGATATGTCATACCTTTTGGTTGTAGCCAGACCGATACATTTCTACAGACGTTAAGGTCTGTAGAAAACTGTTCTTCCGACTTTTTAGATGCAGTATTGTACCAGAAATGAAGCCAACATTAGGGACTAGGGTCCCTACTTTACCATTCCTTGCTCTGAAATACATCATATTATGTAGATCAAGAAAGATATATAGGATACTATGCAAGTCAACAAATATTAACTGCAAATTTTTATGTGATAGATTGGGGCGTATATTGTTTTTGTACTGTCTGTGTGTTTGTCTGTCTGTCTGTTGTCAATTTTAACCTATTAACTTTTGAACCGTGAGAGATAGAGACTTAGTTCATATTTGGTATGCATACTCCACTATTCATGCTCTTTCAAATGACACCAAGGTCAATAACCTTGTGGCCTTGACTGTGACCTATATGCAAAAAATAGATTTTTCGAACTTTCACGATAACTTTTGAACCATTAGAGATAGATACTTCATATTTCATTTGCATACTCCACTAATTAAGTTCTTTCAAATGACACCAATGACCTTGATTGTGACCTATATTCTAAAAATAACCTTGTTAAACTTTGTTGCCGCTGGCATAGTGTTTCACAATCACATTTTGTGTACCGGGTAATTTAATACATGATTATTGACATTTCTGCAACTACCAGTGTGCATGTGTATGTATAGGAGTATGCTATAAAATTCAAACAATGTGTGTCATTGCCATACTTTTTGGCATTATTTAATTTTTATTTATTCTCTTGTTCAATTAGTTGCAAAGGGTAAATAACACTGCAAGTGTGTGTGTGTGTGTTGGTGAATCCAATCGTGTTTGAATGTTACAAGCTTAAAATTTGCTCATCACAGAGATGCTCCAGATAACAGTGACCTAGTTATGAAGTTTTACTCACATACTACACAAGCTATATCATTTGACAAATCTTTTTACTAATTAC